TTTTTGATTTATGTGTGACGAATAAAGTTTATAATATTGGTGCATAATCCGGGTATAAGTTTGATAGTCTACCCTCAGTCACCAATACAGATGATAAATTAGGTTGGTCTTTGAAAGCTTATATCTTAATGCATTAGTTGACTTCGAAACTTCGAAACTTCGAAAATTCGAAACTTCGAAACTTCGAAACTTCGAAAATTCGATATTCGAAGTTTCTTCGTTTCTTCGGATACTTCGAAGCTTCGAAGTTGCGAAGCTTCGAATAATTAAGACCCCTAGCCAGAACGGTGAAGCAACGCACAACATCCACCCGCACCTGACAGCCAAGTAGAGTAAGTCGTTCGTTCCCGATCCCATCCTGAATCACCTAAGCATGTCAGAAAGAATTAAGCTCCTCGTGCAAAAGCGGACCTCCCTAAAGTCGCAGATCACAAATGTAAGCAATCTTCTCGACAAGGGAAAGATTGATAACACCGCGTTAAAATTAAGACTCGCCCGTCTAACAGAATTATATCATGCGTTTGAGGATCATAACGATGAACTCATGGTATTAGAGCCGGAAGAGGGTCATCGAAATGAATTCAAGCAGGTCCAAGAACGCTTTTATGATCTAGCGGGTAAGGCCGAAAATATTCTAAACCCGGTGAACATTTCGAACGCGAACGCCGGTACATCAGGCGATGAGCCGCGAAACGGTACAACAAGCGACGAGCCGCAAATTGATAATAGAGTAGGCATCGCTCCCGTCACGAAACGGCGAATCAAGTTACCCGACGCGCCACTGCCGACGTTCGACGGCAAGTACGAAAACTGGCTCTCGTTCAAAAACGCGTTTAGTAACATGATAGGGTCGCGAACCGATTTGTCGGACATAGACAAATTACACTACTTGAAATCCGCATTAATCGAGGAAGCAGCGAACAAAGTAAAAATCTTCGCGGTCAACGGAATAAACTATGTAAAGGCATGGGAATTACTAGAGCGCTCATATGAGGTGAAAAGAGTCTTAATAGCTCGACACCTTTCACTTATCTTAAATACACCGATATTAGATAAAGAAACGACGAGCGGTCTATCCAAACTCGCTGATGATGCTCAGCAGCATGTCGCTTCACTGAGCGCGCTAGGAGTTTCCGTCGGGCCTGAAATGATCGTACACATTTTAGAAGGCAAGTTGCCGAAGAGCACATTAGAAAGATGGGAAGCGAGTCTCGAAAGAGACGAAGTTCCGAATCTCGATCAGATGTACGAATTTCTGTACAAGTCCGCGGTTTGCGCATCGAGACGCGAAGGAACAAAGATCGCAGACCAGGCAAGAGGCACGGGCGAGCCCCCGATTAAGAGGAAGCGTTGTTCCGCAAATCAAGCATTCGTATTAAACTCAACGCGTAATTGCGTGGCGTGCAAAACCAAGCGACATCCTCTGTACATATGCGACAAGTTCAAACAATTGTCCGTGCCTAAACGTATCGAGTTAGTAAAGAACGCAAAGATCTGTTACAACTGTATGCGCTCACATCGTGATAGTCCTTGCAAATTTTCGAGTTGCACTATCTGCCAAAAGCGACACAACACACTCTTGCATTACGATAAATACGCGAACGCTGTCAAACCGGAGACATCGAAACCCGCGACGGTCACGACCGCATGACTAGTCGACTCGACCGGAGGGAGAACAATAAGCCTCGCGACGGTATCACCCATTTCGACGCCACAATTATTAACCAGTGCAATAATATACATCCGTGATTGGAAACGCGATTCCATCAAGACCCGGGCGTTGTTAGACACATGCGCTACCGCGAACTTTATTTCGGAATCCGTCGTGAAACGACTGGGTTTGCCCGTAACGGCACGCTCGTCGTCCGTCGGCGCGATTAACGCTACGCACACCGAATCAAAGGGCTTAGTGAGAATCACGATACAATCGACGATTGACGGCTTTAGCAAAGAGTTAACATGTCTGACTATACCGACGATTACCGATTTAGTACCGTCGGAAGTCTTTCCACGGAAGTCGATCACAATACCCTCGAACGTTCGGCTAGCAGATCCAGAATTTCATCTACCACGATCGGTTGAGTTATTAATCGGTTCCGGAGCCACGCTATCTTTATTTTCCGTCGGACAAATTAATTTATCCCACGAAGGTTACGACTTATATCTGCAAAAGACACGTTTGGGTTGGGTGGTCGCCGGTAGTACGTCGGTACAAAATACCACAAGAACGGCGTGTTACTTTACGAATTTAGAAAGTCAATTGAACAAGTTTTGGACTATCGAGGAAATCGCGACGGACAAACCAAAATCAAACGAGGAGATCGCAATGGAAGCACACTTTCGGAATACAGTGCGTCGCGACAGTACCGGGCGTTATGTGGTTCGCTTACCGTTTCGCGAGACAAACCAGCGTCTCGGCGAATCGCGAAATATCGCGCTCAAGCGTCTAACTTCGTTAGAACGCAAACTCAATGCGAACGCAATATTGAGAAATGAATATACGCAGGTCTTGGAGGAATATTTAAGATTAGGTCATATGTCCGTAGTAGAAATCTCTAGCGATGACGGATTTTATATGCCCCACCACGCCGTAATTAAAGAATCAAGCAATACTACGAAGGTTCGAGTTGTATTCGACGCGTCCGCGAAGACAAGCAGCGGCGTGGCTCTGAACGATATACTGATGGTGGGACCCACGATTCAAGATAAACTTTTTTCACACGTAATTCGGTTCCGGACGTACAAGGTCGTTATCACCGCGGACATAGAAAAGATGTACCGTCAGGTATCGTTGCATGAAAGCGATCGACGGTATCAAAGGATTCTCTGGCGTAGGGACGGCGAGATAATGACGTTTCAATTAAACACGCTTACGTTCGGCGTGGCGTCCTCTCCGTTTCTAGCAATTCGCACCATACAAAAACTCGCGGACGACGAATGCAATGCATGTCCACGAGCGGCGGAAATTCTCAAGGCGCATCTTTATGTAGACGATTTATTAACCGGCGCCGGTAGTATTGAAGAGGCTCGCGCGATCCGAGATGAAATCGTCGAATTGCTAGCGCGGGGAGGATTCACGATCAGACAATGGGCTTCTAATGAAAAGGATGTTATCAAGGATCTAGCAGACAGCGAAATACATGCGAATTTTACGGTAGAGATAGACCGCTCTTTGAAAACGTTAGGCATAACATGAAACACGCACACCGATAAAATATGTTACTCAACCCATCCGACGAAGATTACAGAAAGACTAACAAAGCGAGCCATATTATCCGAAATCGCGAAGATTTTCGATCCGTTAGGGTTGTTAGCGCCGGTCGTCATGTGCGCGAAGAAATTAATGCAAGACGTGTGGCGGTGCGGGGTACATTGGGATGAATCCGTTCCGCAGAGCTTGTATACCGAATGGTCGGAGTTTGCTCGACAATTACATTTAATGAACCAGGTTTCCTTTGATCGCAGATTACTAATAGATGATTATAAGGGCATTCAAATTCACGGATTCTGCGACGCGAGCAAAATCGGCTACGGTGCATGTCTATACATACGTTCGTACGGGATGCAGGAAAATGTCGTCAACAGACTGGTATGCGCTAAATCACGGGTCGCACCGTTGAAAACGATCACCATACCACGGCTTGAACTTTGCGGCGCACTATTATTAGCCCGCTTATACCGCGAAACGAGCGACGCGCTGGGAATTACACCGGACAAGGTGATTTTCTGGTGTGATTCAACCATTGTATTGCACTGGTTGAAAACGTCACCTCAGCGACTCAAAACCTTCGTAGCAAACCGAGTCGCGGAGGTCCAGGAAGTCACCGGCGCGAACGAATGGCGACACGTTAAGTCAGAAGACAACCCGGCCGACGCGATCTCAAGAGGCCAATTGCCTCATGCGTTTTTACGGAATCAAACGTGGCTTACGGGCCCTCCGTGGTTAATCAAAGACGAGGGCGAATGGCCCAACGAAAACATACAAATAAGCGAAATACCCGAAGTGAAGGCGGACACGTGCCTAACGACAATAACCGATAATTTCGACATACTCGAAAGATATTCTTCTTTCGCTAAATTACGCAGAGTCGTCGCATATTGTCGTCGATTCCGACCTACTAGCAAA